CCCAAGTACTGTTCTCTAGGGCCTCCTTTCTAGAGAGGAAGGAAGGAATAGGATACAGTGCTGCAGTCAAAACCAAACATTTTGTCTCCCCCTACTTCTGCCTCCTGACATATCAGCAGCTCTGTATAATGAAAATCTAAATCATTTGTGTGCACACATAGCAACTGTTTATTTTGCTTTTAGCTTTGAGGACTCAGTGGGGGTTCAATGCATTCAGAGAAGAGATCAACCCTGCGAGAGCCTAATCTCATAAGTAGACAAAATGAAAATTGAAGCTGAAAATACATATCTCTACATCTGAAAGAGAGGCCAGTAATAAATATCTTAAGCTCATGCTTTTAAACCAAGGGCATGGAGTGGAGATGACTCCTTGAAAGGGTCCTGCTTCCTGTCTGCTAAGAAAATTTACTGGGCCTGGTAAGAGGTTGATAATGCATTCTCGAAATAGCGCACCTTTCCCTTCAAACCACCAAGTGGAATGCCTTCCATCTTTTACAAAATGCATTCACTATTTTCTTGAAACTTCCTCCCCCCTTCCCACCAACAGGCTGCCTTGGGACCAAATACCATCCTGAAGTTTCTCCACATTAGTATTTCTACCAAAAATGAAAGCCAGACCAAAGAAAGTGTCTTTATCACATATGAAGGGGCCAGGCCCTCCCTCTTTGCACACCATGTTTGACAATTTATGAAGCCTGTGTTTCTCAGGAGCTTCCTCATGCCCTCATCTTCCCAGGGTTTCCCCTCATCCAGCAAGAACCCCATATGGTCACCAATTCTTGCAGAAACCAGAAACCCCTTACTCAGAGGTCAGTCTTTTCATTTTCATTTCCTTTCCACCTCGGCAAGGCAGGATATCAGTGCCGGATCACAAGTAGCTGCAAGTGAATGGAGGCAGCTACTCCACTGGGACCAGGAATAATGAGGGACAAGATCACCTAAGACACACCTGAATGACTTAACATTTGCAGTATACCAAGGGCCATCCCAGGTGGAGAAACTATAACCCTACAGACATGAAGGCATGTGAATGGGGGCAGTTACTGTCAATCTGGCATTCTTTCCTGAAAGAAAGTCCTACTAATGGGCTCTTATGAAATACTCAGTGGATTGTGAGTTTGTCCAGGTGAATAGCCTCCCTCCTGTCACCCCCCTCAAGAAGATCTGTGTGTTTCCAGAAGTCACCTGTGTACACAGGTAAGGAGCATGACTGCCAGTCTCTCACTTGAGTCATTTCTCCTTCCTCTCTGTTCAACAACAGCCAGAGGAGGCAGGCTTAGCTTTCAAGAGCCTACTCCAGGCCATGGTGGGGGTGGGGAACAGGCTAGTCAGACATCTACACAATAACAAGGCTTGACAGCAAAGAAACCATACACAGACAGAAAGGAACTGAAATTCAAATTGAACAAGGGGCTGGATCCCTTTTAAGTATAAGCCCCTGAAGGCCTAGCTTCCTTACAGGAAAAAAATCCCTTTTAAATCCTATCTCCTTTCTCTGGAAAAGGAGAGGAAACATTCCAACTAACTAGTACCTTATAAGAGGTGAAAGTTATTTAAAATGGTTCTTTGGAATTAACTCCTTCCTGATCAGTCTCCTCTTTAGGGTATAACTACTTCGCAGTGTGTTTGGGTGTCTATGCCTTGGAGGGCAGCAAAGCAAAGGCTTCCTAGGGAGCACTGTGTAAGGGAATGACATGGTCAAGGGCCAAGTACACTCCCTGCGCTGTTATTTTCCATTTACCCTTCACACCCTCCAAGGTTTATTCTCTGCCCTTCTCTGCCATGTTCTGTGCCAAAGCTGACCTCAGTGGACTGTAGCAACAGGCTTCCTTACCAGCTGGCATCTGGCTGGGTCTGGATAATGGTGGACACTGACAGGAGATCAGAGTGGTAAGAGAGTGAGATATATAGAGTTTATGCTCCTGTCTCCTTCCCAGATGTGTTGCATTTAAGCTGAGTCCACATTGTGCTACCTAAACCATAGCTCTTATCAGTCAGCCCCCCTCTTGCACCTGTATAGCTCTTTCTGGGTTCCAATAACACAGTTTCTTCCCCTTACCCTTTCAGGCTTACAGGTGATAACAGCTCCCCACTGTTCATAGTATTTTTATGTCCCACAAGCACTGGCAGGTTCCTTTAATCCTACACATACCACCACAAATGGCCCTTGCATTAAGTTCATCCCAGTTAAGTATACCTTATGAGTATGCCATCTGTTTCTTGCCAAAACCGTAGCTTAAAGACTTATAACACTTCCACAAATTCTATCCCACTGAATTCCAGGAGGTTCCCTATCCTAAGAAGAGATATCACCTGATCTGTCTTTTCTAAGGAGAGTGGTCTGCCTTTTCTCAGATACTTGAGCTCTTATCCATATCTTGGGGTTTCCTAAATTAAAGTTGCATTATTTTGTCTACATAATAAAAATGAGGCTTGAGGTGGTTCCATTTTTGTTTTATCTGTTCTTAGTCGTCTTCTTGGTCATCTTTCTTATACTTGCAAAACCAACTACAACAATGCTTCCCTTCCAACGAGGTGTGTTCAACTTGCCTTACCTTAAACACTTAATCTAGTTCCATGAGGAAGATAATTTTTTTTAAAGATTTTATTTATGTATTTGACAGACAGAGATCACAAGTAGGCCAAGAGACAGGCAGAGAGAGAGGAGGAAGCAGGCTCCCCGCCAAGCAGAGAGCCCGATGCGGGGCTCTATCCCAGGACCCTGAGATCATGACCTGAGCCGAAGGTAGAGGCTCAACCCACTGAGCCACCCAGGTGCCCCGAGGAAGATAATTTTTGACGTGAATTCAATCATCAGTTCCTTACTACGTTATTCCTCTAGTATTCCCCAACTTGGTAATAAGAACCACCAGTATCCCAAAGTGGTCATCCCAAACTTTCACTTGCACCCTCACCTACACATATCCATTAGACTAAGTACTATGGGACCTAACCTAATATAGCTTCTTTCAAATTCATCCATCTGCTCAAGCCCCACAGTTACTGCCTTAGTCAGGACTGGATATTTTATGCTTGGGTTACTGAAGTATCTCCAGTTTCTCCCTGTTCTCTTTCTCCTTACTGTCATCAAACTGATCTTTGAAAAAACACAAATACGTTCATGTTGCTTCCCTTTCTGTGGTGCTCCTTTAGGATAAAATCCAAATTCTTTATCCCGGTCTAGAAAGCCTCACGGAATCTGGGTAGTATCTCCCTTTTTAGCTTCATTTTTTGTCACCACCCTTTTTACAACCCTGTTCATTGCTTTCATGATGATGCCATATTCTTTCATGTCTTCGTGCCCCTGCTCCTTTTTCTACTACAGCTCTCAGACTTATCTTAGGCATCATCTTTTCTATAAATTTTTCTCATGAATCCCTTCACTCCAAGTTGGTTTAATAACCTCTCTGCATGATCCTTTAGGCCCCTCTTCTTCACTTACTAGCACTTAAGACACTGGCCATTATTTATCTATATGTCTGTCAATGCCTACCACTCTCTCTTTTAGGGTGAGAAAGTGTTTCTTCTTCCTTCATCCACAGCAATTAGCACAGAATGCAGCATCTAGGAGGATACTCAAGAGATGTGTCCTGAATGAGTGACTAGATTAATGAATGAGCTCATGAATGAAATATATGCTTGAAGTCACTTATCTATGTAAGGTCAATATCAGGACCCTGACCCTTCTTGAAATGGCATGTAACTAATGAGGACAGTTTTTGCCATTTCTTCCCTTCCAGGTGGGGCTGTACCCAAACCACTCTGGAGTGATTAAGGATAGAAAGAGATGAGTTGGCCTTTTGAGCCCCAGCTCTCCCTAATCCCTAAAGCTGTAGTTATGGAACAATAGAGCTGGCCTGAATTAATTGGAGTGAGGGAGACAAATTTTGTTCCTGGGAGACACCAGGTTCATCTACACCATCCATCAGACTTGAGCACAGATGGGATGGAGGCCAGCCCTAAAAATACATCCACCCTAGGTAACACCAAAGCTGTGTTCTTTCATGTCTAATTCACCCCAGGTGGAGGGGAAAGAATTTGATGACCAGTCTTTGAAACAGGCAGAGAAACTTATATTATGCTAGGAATGACTGTTGGAACAAAAGGCCACTGTGAATTTCTTAGTCAATAAAAATGAACTCTAATAGAAATTTTAATAAGGAGCCAGCAGAAACATCCTTGTCATCATCATTGTGAATTCATGTTTATTGAATGTACAACAAATGCTAGTCTCTGCTCAGAACATTGGATGAACATCATGTCTGTATCTATAAGGGACTAGGCAATACTTGCCACTAGGTTGATGCCAGTCACCCAGCCAGAACACAAAATGAACTCTTATGAATATTCTAAAGCATAATAAGGAAGGGGTCTTAGACTATATGCAGTCATCCTTGATTAGTATTTTCCCCAATGGGAGCACTTCTCCCCACAAGCTTCCCCACAACTGGAAAGGAAGAAAAGCAGGAGAGAGTAGGAAGAGTCAAGGTACAGTCCAGAGAAAGTCACAAAAATTTGAGCAGTGGCACTCCATAGATGTTTGGATATGGCAGTAAAGACCAGGGGGAGGGCCATATGCATGGAGTGGTAGGAACCAGCCCTGTTCATCTCCTGTCCTTCCCTGCACATGTGTTCTTACACAACCTTTAAGTGATAGACAGGATCTGTAGAACTCTGAAGATCTGCTTGATCATGAAGTTACCTTCCAGGTGAGGTCTTCTCCTTATTTTGCACAAAGGAACACTTTGGGACTTGAGGGCTAGTGGGTACTCACCAGTTAGGTAAACATTTGAGAGAATCATTGTTCTTGATGAATTTTGTAAATAAGCACTGACCCACTGGCTTAAGGGAAAATGAAAATGAGTGACTGATGATTTAAAAAGCATGCAAACATGTGGCTACACTACTAGCAGGTGGTTAGCAAGTGGCCCAGTGTTAGTGCCTCCTCTCAAGGCCATCTTCCTTTCTCTTTCCCACCCTCTCCAATCTTCTGCCAAATCTCAAGATTTGAGGCAATGGTCAAGCTCCATGGCATAAGAATTGGTGTTCCTCATGATGCTTTCTGCCAACATGACAGGCTTGGGGTTTCTTCCAGCAAAGCAAGAGAGCCAAGTGCAGATCAACATGGCTGCAGCTGCTCCACCTCCAGCACAGTAATAGGCCCAGCCAAGCCGACAGGTACCTGTAGAAATAGGGACAGAGACATGAGGGTTGGGTTGTCTTCTCATACATTCTCCTTGGGGTATTAGAGTTAATGTGAGAATATGAAACAATGAATGCAACTGGGCCTCCTGTTTCCCCCTTTCCTCTTTTGCTGATGGTTGGTATTTGCTTTACCAAGAAGTTATAGAATTTTATTCTGTTACAGTAGGAATCTGGGGGTGGTGTGGGTGGTAGCGGTGATGGTGCCATAATGAAACTGATGACAAGAACAATTTGATCAAGTGTCAAGAATTATGCTAAACTCCTTAGACATACATCTCATTGACCATTACAGTAACTATATGAGATATGCACTCTTATTATCCCTGTTTTATATAAGATGAGGTAACTGAGGCACAGATTAAGTTAATTGTGAAAAGTCAGAGAGCTAGACAGCAATAGAGTCAGAATATAAACTCTGGCTAATCTTGACTCTAAAGCTTTACCTTTTTCACAACATCGATGTACTGCCATGCACAGACTATTTCCAAAGAATTGTATTCTGCACCATCAGGAGATTTGACAGGCACAAAAATAAATAAAAATCTATTGCCCCTTGTTACATGCCTCTATCTTAACCTACCCTTTCAGTATCCAAGGAAGAAATATATTAGAATCAAGGTCAAGCTTGTAAAGCAGTAGTTTCAATTTAAAGGGTAATAGGGAAGGTCACCTGCTCAAAAACATCCACTCCACCACCTGCCTTTCTATCAGAGGTAGATTCTGTCCTTTGAAGTATTTATGTTTTCTCAGAGAATTTTCCCTCAGAAAATGCCAATGCCCAAAGAAAGGAGAGCTATTAATTTATAAGGGAATAGAGTAACAACTAATTGTTAAAATAAAGTGCCTAAGCAAACAAGACGTCAGAAACTGTAGAAGATGCAGTGATAGAAAATTGTAGAAGGGCCCTGAGAAAAGAGGCAGACAGTGACCTTCACCTACCTCACAGTCCTATAGAAGGCTAGTCCTGACCATTGTCAGTTAGTTGGAGATGTCAAGACTGATCTTGATAACTTCCTTTTTTTAAAGATTTTATTTATTTATTTGACAGAGAGAGAGGGATCACAAGTATGCAGAGAGACAGGCAGAGAGAGAGCGGGGAAGCAGGCTCCCTGCTGAGCAGAGAGCCCAATGTGGGGCTCAATCCCAGAAGCCTGAGATCATGACCTGAGCCGAAGGCAGAGGCTTAACCCACTGAGCCACCCAGGTGCCCCGATAACTTACTTTATTTTTAAATCATTTTTTAAATTTATTTTCAGCATAACAGTATTCATTGTTTTTGTACCACACCTAGTGCTCCATGCAATCCATGCCCTCTCTTATACCCACCACCTGGTTCCCCCAACCTCCCACCCCCCCACCTCTTCAAACCCTTCAGATTGTTTTTCAGAGTCCATAGTCTCTCATTGTTCACCTCCCCTTCCAATTTCCCCCAACTCCCTTCTCCTAACTCCCCATGTCCTCCATGCTATTTGTTATGTTCCACAAATAAGTGAAACCATATGATAATTGACTCTCTCTGCTTGACTTATTTCACTCAGCATAATCTCTTCCAGTCTCGTCCATGTTGCTACAAAAGTTGGGTATTCATCCTTTCTGATGGAGGCATAATACTCCATAGTGTATATGGACCACATCTTCCTTATCCATTCGTCCGTTGAAGGGCATCTTGGTTATACTTTTTAATAATCAATTGCTTTTGTTCACATGGTGTTCAGTGAACTTTAATTTTCCTTCTTTTAATTGACTATTTGGCATGTCATATAAAGAATATAGCATGGCCTCAAGGTAGGCTCTTTGCTCTTCCATTCAGGCCAGCCTAATTTATCCCAAATTTCTCACCTCAGAAATAGTGTTCCTATCACCACCAAAGTATTATCCATACTGTCTCTCCTGCCAGAAACAGCTTCTTCCCTCTTATTCACCAATTCATATCTTCTTCAGAACACTATCCAGGACTTCCAGGAAACTTTTCCAGATTAATCCCAGTGGGCTCAAGTCACCTCAGCCAAGTAGCCCTCTAGGAGTTTATCTATATCCCTTACATGGGTGTACCTGTTGGATAAAATGTTGGGAGGAAACTTTGCATGTGACATATTTTTCATCTGCCCTTTACCCACTTCCAGACTGTTGGCTCAACAGTGCAGATGTATTTGTTTTTTTCTTGATCATATCTCCTAAGCTCTATCAGCAGTGGGTGCTTACTGTGCATGTTTTAGCCTAACAATACTCCAAATATGGGTACACTTGCATTTTTAATCCTCAACATACAAATCTATGGCTTAAATTTTTTATTAAAGTTATGAAACCAGCTGTAGTATTATTCTATTTGTTTCTGGAATGTGCTACAGTTCTTCCCATCATAAGACCTATGACTACTCTCTTGCCTAAATTGCTTACTGCATATGTACATGTACACAAATACTTCCCACCACTCTCTTTGCCTAGTCAATGTTCAGTCATTCTTCAAAGCTCAGCCCAATCATTAATTCCTGACTCCTAAGTCAGATTCCTTCATCAAAGGTTCTTGTTAGTACTGTGTATACTTCCTTCTGTACTTGAATCCCTTATGCCCTGCCATGACAATGTCAAAGTTTAGTTCTTCAGAAGAGACAGTATTTTACCAATAGATGGAGGCAGTCATATAACTCTTGAAATCCCATGGTCCCACCCAAAATTATACTGAGAGCCAAACTATAGTAGATATGGAAACAATGCAATCCTTAGATAGAGTGAATTTGAAAGTGAACCCTTCTTAGAGAAAATAATTCAACTATCCACAAAGTGGCCTCAACATGAACAATAATGGTGGGCCTCTGGAAAAGGTAAACTGAAGAATACCATACTGAGGTAATCAGCCAATAAATTTGTATCCTCTGTCTACCTTGTCACACCTCCTTTTAGACATACACACATACTTATTCACTAAAGAAAGGGGATTTTATATAATGCTTTTGGTTTCACAAGGTGAAAACTCTACATATGGGCAAGCCTTCAACTTCCACCATCCTCAGGAAGAAGCTTGAAGGTTATATTGTACCCAGTTCACAGATATGAATGTGAAGCTTAGTTCATAGCCCTAGGAACTCTCTCAGAAGCAGAGAGGTAGAAGCAGGGATCCAGACCAAATCTCTTTACTCTCAAAGTGGTACTCTGTCCTCTCTACTGGTTTCCTCACCCTCCCGAAAGCCATTTTTTCCTCTTAGAGGACCCTTGACCTATAAGCCCTAAAGAGGGGGTTCCTAAGTTAATTAGTAATAGATTCACCTGAGCTTCTCCCGTAGCCCTCCTAACCAAAATCTCCTGTGCTCACATGGTAGAGTAGAAGGAGCCAGCCCTGGAGTGGACCCACCGTCAGGCAATTTCCTCCTCTCTGGCATGCTCCCAGTCTAATCTAGACAAGGCATCAGAAGTCTCACTCTGTTTCTTCAGTTACTTGTCAAGTCATCCCCCTATTAGAGTAGAAGGGATATTTTTATTAGATACATGCAACCTAGGACCAGGGAAAGACTTGTTTCTGTAAATGAAAGGAATAAATGTATAGCATGCCATTATCCCAAAGCCCCAGGCAGGAAGAAAGCTGACAGAGTGGGTAGCTCCAGAGTGAAGAGCTGGCTAGAAGGGCTTCAATAAACCTTACTGAAGTCATGTCAGAACTAGGTATCACAGAGTTAGGAGCCAGCACCAAAATGTTCCCATGGCCACACCAAATGCAATTGGTTTCTTCTCACAGAGACTCCTATTAGGCCACTGAACAGCACCTAAGCTCCAGGCTGCTGCCACAGAGGCAGCCAAGGAGAAATGGAGGAAACATATCTTCTATCCAGCCCTTCCCCACAACCCTACCTGTTATTTGCTTGAGGGAATAGAGAGGTTATATCAGTAGCATTGCAAAAGGGTAGAACAAAGCAAAATTTTCCAGAACTATGTCTTCAAGTTGAGAGGAACTGTCAGTATTCACATACTCCACAGAAAGCGTGGACACTAGTCTGATGGCCTACAAAGGAATTTGTGTTTCCCATGGAAGGGTACAAAATAGGGAGCAGTGATAATGAAATACCACACTTTACCTCCAGTCACCTTTTAGTGAAGTCCCATGGACCATCACCAATCCCTAAGTCCTACTCCCTAAAGCACTGTTGATTATTCTATTCATCTAACAAATATTTTATTAAGTACCTACCATGTGCCAGACACTTTGAATACACTATCTCATTCGATTCTCACAACAGTTAATTTTCATTAACAGCTGAGAAAACAGAATCTCAGAAAGAAAAGTCACTGTCGATTACGAGTGTCAGAATTCAGATGTGAGTGCCAAGACTGAAAGTCCATGGTCATCTATTTCAACCATGCCAGTAGAGTGGAGCCAAGGATACAAGTTACTATGGTCCAAGACTTATGGGAAAGTATGTCTTCAACTGATCACTTCAGCTCTCTGATTCTCAGTTTCCTTTTCTTTAAGTGAAGGGAATTTTTCTGGACAGATTTTTTTAAAAGATTTATTTATTTACTTGAGAGAGAATGAGAAGAGAGAGAGAGAGAGAATGCAGAGGGAGAGGGAGAAGCAAACTCCACACTGAGCAGGGAATCCCAATGTGGGGCTCGATCCCAGGGCCCTGAGATCGTGACCTGAGCCAAAGGCAGATGTCTAACTGACTGAGCCACCCAGGTGCCCCATTGCTGGACAGATTTTTAAAAGCCCCTTCCACCTCAAAATTTCCATTCTACTATGAACATGATAAATGCCTTAAGAGCATAGAAATACTATAGGAACATCTAGGAAAAGAATTATTTGTATCTGAGAGAATTTAGGCTTAAGTAGTGTTTTATAGAGAAGATATCATTTCAACTTGACTTTAGCAGTGGGAAGTGGGCATTCTAGGCAGTCGGAGTGGTTGGTGTGACCAAAGTGATGTAAGTGAGAAAGTTGACAACACGTTTCAGAAACAGTACCCCATTCAGAGTTGCTTCAGAAAA